ATCTAGATTCCTAAGAAATGTCATCAGGGGAACAAAGCTTCTAACATGAGTGGAAAGGATGAGAGGTACCAAAGAGTGTTGTAAGAAAATGACAAAAATGGGAAAAGTGAGCATTAGAAAAGGAAGCAGCAGATAATGAATCCAGCCCCTAAATGGGCAAAGTGACCTCAAAGATAGGAAGTCTAGGAACAGAAAATCTGAATGATTAAAATGGCAATCATAGTAGTCAATCAGGTGGCCTCCAAGGTATAAAACCACAGAAGCGAAGTTAAACCCAAAAGGAAGTGGCATGTACAGATATAAAAAGGGAGGGAAGAAATACAATGAAATCATGAAGAAAATACTTAAGTGAAATTGAATGGGAAGAGATAGAAGACATTGGAGTAAGAGAAATTATTCTACATACCTAAGAAATAAAGTGAAGAAAATCAGAGGAAGTCTGAGGGTTAGTTCATTAAGTAAAGTAGTTCCCGATACAAGCTGGTAGGTGTAAATGTTGATCAAATACATCCTCTTCAATTTCTGGCTCTAAATAATGGGAAGAGAAATGAGTGGAAGGGATAAGAGAAGAGAGTCCCAGTCAGATAACAGACCCAACACACAATGAAAAATGCCCATCACACTGAAAATGTATTTCTGATAGGTACTTTCACAAAAAGCTTTTCTTCTGCCCTCTAAGCATTGTTAAAATTATCATTATCAGCACATTAGTTTATATCCCCCATCAATTTCATGCCATTTCTGAACATGTACATATTATGTGACTAACTCTACACCAAAAATATTGTGCCACCTATATTGGCACAGCTATTTCCCTTTGATACTCCCACTAAATCTTCACTTTTGAGAATAGGCAGGCTCTAAAAGAAGAATACAAGCCATTGGGAGGAAGGGTAGGAAGTGTTTGAGAGAAAGTAAGTACCTATCAGAAATCCACAGTAAAATATAAACAGAATTAGCTATGTGTATAAACAACCTCAACCGGACACACTGGGTTCCATAACTTGCCCTTGGCATTGAGAGGTACAGAATCAAAAGATATATTGTAACATAGTTTCACAAGAACATAGTGGCTAGGGCATATGGATCACGTTATACATACTCAACAACCCCAATCAGAAATAAACAGAGCGTAATATTTCAAGCAACTGGAATTACAAAGAAAAAGTTAACTTTCAGGTCGAAATTGGACAAACTCCTAAAACCACTGTAGGAGCAAGAAGTACAACAAACCAAACCCAGCATTACAGGGTTGTGGTATTGCCTCAGCTCAATCATAAGAATGGGGCAATATCTGTAACTGGTATTATGAGCAAAAATCATAAATCACACAACTGTAAATTCAGGGAAGAGACATCCTGCTTCTGGAATTACAAGGAGGACACGAAACATTCACTCATCTGCAGGAACAGTGTATGTACATCCTGTAGTCGGCATTACGAGGCAGATGAAGTCCTCCAAACTCAACCATAGGAGCAGGAAAAGAACCTCCCACAACCAGAGCTAATGTGAAGAGGGGCCTCTACTGAACTGGAAAACTCGACTGAGAGCAATAAATAACTAGTGACAAAAATGGGCACTGTGGGGAAAAACTTCAAATTTCAGACTAGAAAGAAAACATGAGGTTTCTAATATCACAAATGTAGGAAAAAAAACCAAAGCCAAGTTCAGCCTTAGAAACATGAAAGAAAAGAGCACCTCAGCAATGGAACAACACAAAAAAAAGTCCTACACTGACGAAAATTAGAAAGATAAGGCACACAGTTAACAATGATGATCAAAAAAATTATTCAGATGGAACAATGAATTATATATTACTAGTAGTAATGATATGTAACATACAAACGATGTTAACCTAGTTAACAAAGTAATTATAAATATCAAATGGACAACCATCTACATTTATCTAGTCCACAAAGTATGTAATAATAACAAATGTGCAAATCAAGTGAAATTACCTAGAAAACACGATAATAATCATTATCTATCTTACCATTCATTTAAATTAACCTAGACGACAATGGACACATAATTAAGTCCAACACTGACAAAAATTAGGATAATAAAGCACACAATTAACAATGACAAAAAAAAAATATTCAAATAGAACAACAAATTAGATATTACAAGCAATCTAAGCATACCTAGTTATAGTAACTATTAATAATGAACTCAGAAACCCTACAGATCCCCTGGAAGAACTGTAATCAATATGAAGAAAGGAAGAGAAGAACAATTCACCACCAAAGTGAATGACGTGGCAGCATAGCAACTAGTGGAAGGTGAAAACTCGTGAAGAGGTGTAGAGTGTGACAGACCAAAATAAGAAGGTGCCAGAAAAAGAGTCTAAATTGTCTTCTCATTTATTTTATTCTTCCTCAGAAACATTTTCACGTTGAAAAGAAGAAGCTCCCTGCAAATTAAGGCCTGTACTTCCTCTGTAGATAAGTTGAACCCAATTCCTGGGAAGTCGTTTACCATTAGCAGTTTTGACTGTAATGGGATTATCCATAGTCGATACATTGATCGCAAATTCATACGAAGATCTCTTATAAAATGGTTACAAGAAACAAGTGAATGCAAACACAGTAAAATAAAACATAAAATGGCAAAGAAGCATGTTCATAAAAGGTAATCACATGTGAAAAAAACACATCTAAACAATGCTGTGCCAATCAAGAAAGTGAGGATTGAGTGGGAAAACAGAGGGAGCTAACTGCATCAATATAGGTGGCACAATACTATTGGTGGAGAGTAGTCACATGATATGCACATGTTCAGAAATGGTGCGAAACTGATGAGGTATATAGACTGGTGCACTGATGACAAAAGTTTTTAGCAATGCTTAGAGGGCGGAAGATCTAGATAGTTTTAAGATTGCATCAGAAGAATTATTCACATTAAAATGTGAAATCATGCTGAGTATAATAAGCTTCATCAAGTAAAAATTGAAAACTCAAAACATGTTCTCAGGAAACTCAAAACATGTCTGTTCACAACAGTGTTGAGCAAAAGAATGAGGATTCACAAGCACAAATGTAGAGGAAGTCCCTGTATATGCACTCCTGTTGGTGAAGGGTTCTGCTGTATATGTCATCATGCAGTAGCACAAATTCACATGGTTTAATGTGAAAGTAGGTTGAAGTATTCACAAGGCTGGTGGCTTGCAAATCTCTTTGGCAGAACATACAAACTCAAGAGGAAAGAAGCTATTCTGTGTGAGAGGTGAGTATTCATTTCGGAATTACTACTTTTCCTTTAAGTGTTTCAAAACACATAACCAATGAGCTTACGTGGCAAAAGCTAAAGAGAGACTGAAATCACTGGAAATAATTAGAAAATCTTTAAAATCAGTAATCATTTGAACCAAGACATTTTATCTATTACAAAGAAATACAGATGTAAATCTCCAATATCTGATAGCCTGAAGATTATTCATTAATCTACTGTTAAAATAGAAGCATACTGTCTATAAGGGTTAGCAGGAAATTCCTCAAAAGAACCAGCTCCAAATGCTAAAACGTCCTATTAGTACATCTCAGTAATCCAAATTTGTAAAATTACAAATTAACAATTATCACCAGGTTACAAACACTGTCAAGGCAAACTGCGCCCTTTCCCACCCATATGTGACAAGCCAGTATTACAGGAGTGTGCGCTGGTAAGTGTGATTTCTTTGTTACTCAAAAAGTGCTAATCAGCTCTTTTGTTAAAAAGATACTTATGTGAGAATAAGCCTGGTATTTTGTTCAATAATTGTTCAAAGTATGTCATAAGAAGATATAAAAACAAGCTTCAGTTGCATATAATCATATTGAAAAGCTTATTTAGTACAGTGCCACCTTGTGTAATATTTGCTATTACTTACAGTTGTTTAAAAGAAGACGATAATCACAACATGGGAAAAATGCTCAACACAGTAAAGAATAAAAAACATTTTTCACATTTACATGAACCTTTAATATATTTTAAAGTATCAAAAAGATTCATCAAAAACATGATATATTTTGCAAAGAGATTGACTTTGACACCACCAATAATTATCTTATTAATGGTAAGAAACTCTTAACAAACCAAAACTGGGAAAAAACTTACCTCAATCCCCGGACAAACCATGTTCGGTGTTCTCCTCGTTCATAGTATACCATCTTTTCATTCTGAATCATCTGACCTGCATAGCTTTTAAACTCAACACTTTCACATGTTTTGGATTCCCATGTTGGTTGGGAATACAACCATTGGTTGGCCCTGTCTATTAAATTTCTTAAAAAATATCGAAAAAAGAGAGATGTTAGTAACTGAAACTTCTCTATTAAATGTACTAAAGTCTAATGAAGTACATATCTTAAAACAATTTCAAGCCTGAACATGTACATTCATTCACTAAGCATTGTGAACTTTACATCTGTTGTATGAAGCCAGAAATTGAGCACTACCTTCTTTGGCATATATTATTATGATGCAAGTGCTAAATCTTACATCTTCTCATTACACCATAGTCTTTCATTTCAAATAGTGCCCTGAATTTATTCATTTATTTTCCAATACTCCTAGCACTAGAGTAATAGCAATTAGGCTTATTCTTGAAGCTACTTTGTTTAGCATTAAATCTGACAATCTAATCTTTAAAACTTTTATTTGCACAGAAGTATGGGATTGATATCACTTGATAACCATGACAACAGTTTTACCTTATACACTGCCCATTGGACAAGCAGGTTTTAATATCACATCATTAATTATTTGCTAGAAAACACTGGGTAGATTTCTAGAGAACCATACAAGTACCTGAAAATTCTAAACTAGCACATGTACATGAACACTGACAACTTCATACCTGTAAGCCTTAACCCGATGACTACCGGCTACTAACTTTCTTAGTAGGCAATGCATGTCTTGCTATATTTCATTCCAACAATAAAACTAGTGGACGAATATTTTCGAAAATTCATAAATACTTT